AAGCCGAAAGCACTCAATTCGTAGGTATAAAACTCACTCATCACTCCACAACAACAACCAATTAACAGGTAGCTCTCTCTCTCTCTCTACCTCTCTCTTTCTCTCACTCTCTATCTCACTTACTCTCTCTCTCTCTCTCTCTCTCTTTCTATTTTGCTCTCACTCTTTCTCTTATTATAATTTTGTGATTCGTTGCATTTTGCGATTCATAATGTGATTCCAGGTCTTCAAGTGGAGCAAACGATGATTTGTATTTGACCAACCAACGTCAATATCTTGGTGCACACTAGCATCAAAATTCCTTGTCATTCAGTTTACCAGAACCTTTGTTACTATACGGATCCCAATTGTGTAACGTGGTATGATAACTTGCGAGACTTTCACAATCAGCCAATAAACATTCATAATCCTTTCGCAGAAGTTGGCCTTATGATTATTAGGCCTACAACCATTGTTCTGCCTCTAGAGTTCTATTAACATCTAAGGGGACCAATGTGATTAAAATCTTATTTCAAGTGTTGTGAGCTTGAAGTATACTGTCGTTGGCATCGATTATGAGTGTTAAAGAATTGTTCAGCTAATATGTACGTGGATTGATGCATAGACAACTATGATGATATCGTAGTAAGACTTTAACGTGAGAATGATCGTATGAAATGATGTTTGGATTGATTCCACTTTATCAGAAAAGCAAAGATAGAACATTCAGATTCTGTCGAGACTATTAATGCCATAATAGATGATCCATTACTAGCTTCTAACCATGAACTTTCTAACTTTGACGATTCAAGTGACGATGATAATGAAAATTTTCTGTTATTTGTATTTCTATTTTAGATAAATTAAATAATTTTATGTTATTAACATTTGTGTTAAAGTCAATTGTGGAAATTTGTGTCAAATAATTTATACGCACGCTACATTCCAACGGTTTGCCCAAAAAAAAAATCAAACATTCTTAGATTTCACTATTTTTGTCATCCTTAAAAATTTTAGATTACGATTAACTGTATCACCTTGGAAAATATTAAGTTTGGAAAACAATAAAAAAATGGTCAATTATCATAACCAAAGACGTCTATTAGTCTGACATCTTTAGCACAAAAGACGTTAGCGTGATTGACATTTTTTATGTTAAAGACGTCAGATAGACCCATGCTTTCATTTTGATTGTTATAAATTTAATTTAAAAATATCATACTAACTGACATTTTTAACATTAAAATGTCAGTCAAAATGACATTTTTATGGTAAAGACGTCACTTGGTCTGACATTTTTAAAACTATCTGAGTTTGAGAATTAGTTTTAAAACCACCCAGATTTAGGTAATAGTTTTCCAAACCACTTTTATTTGGGTAAACGATTGTTCATTAAATTCCCATATTTTGTCTCAAATATGGTCCCAACTAGATTTTCCTTCATATACTATACGAGCATGTTTACGTGGGAAGCGCATTGTAAACTTCCCTATAAAATTATTGTTTTTCAAGCATGGGGATGACATTATTAACTGAAAGTGTACTTGTTTGACACAACCATGAGAAGTATTATAGTTGCCTTTGCTTTGAAAGGTGCTCGAAACCATTAGGATGATTGTCCAATGATAGCTTAAAAATTGAATAAGAAGACGTAGAGAAATACTAATGAGGAAATTGAGAAGATAAACAAAAACTTCAAAAAAGAACACTTGCATTGGAGAAGTATTATAGTTGCCTTGGCTTTTAAAGACGCTCGAAACCACTAGGATGATTGCCCAATGATATCTTAAAAAATTGAATAATAAGGCGTAGAAAAATACTAATGAGGAAATTGAGAAGATAAAACAGAAACTTCAAAGAAAGGCAATTGCATGGAAGCTGATTGTTGAACCCTTGTCATCATGCAGAAATACAGAGCACTACCCTTGTGCTAAAAGAGGTTTTCATATAAGTTTCTTTATTTGTACTAACCAATATTAAAACACAGCCACTCTCTCTCTCCAAAAAAAATATATTTTTACACATTTCGAAGACCTGCCGTTTGACCTACAAAGTGCAACCAATAATAAGTCTCCCCAGAATTGTTGTTCAATCTTATCCATCAATTTCATATCAGCATTCATTGTCTTTGATTTAACTGCAGTAGTTATTAAAATTCAATAAATAATCAACCAGATATTATTTAGACTTGAAATATTGACTTAATCAATCACAAAACCCTTAGGAAGGAAAACAACTAAACCGACCACTTTAATAAAGCGTATGTTGAGTGCCAGAGAGTCACATAATGAGTAGAGACCTATAAGGTTCATATATCAGTTTGAGGGTTTTTTGTTTTTTAGTGTAGATGTGGGATAAGTTATAAAATTAATGATATAATAAGGTGCACTTATTAGTAGGAACAAAATAAAAATCAGTTAGAAATCATTCAAATTGAAATTCAAAGACTAGTCTAAAAACCCTTGAAATGCAGTTGTGAAACTATATGAAAGCATCCAATTCAAAACAATTTAAGAACAAATGAAGTACGAAATCAAGTAAATTTAGTTAGAGAGACTACTCCAAAAACTCTTGAAGCTTAGTTGTGACACCATGGTAAAGCATCGAACTCAATTAATTGACAAAAAAAGCTACTCATAGGGCCCAAAAACTAATTTTGAGTGTGTTATTTTATGGAATAGTGATGATTTTACAAGTTGTACTTAATTATGACATCGATAAAGAGAGAATTATTTGCCCAAATGCAACCTAAGAGGAGGTGAATTAGGTTGTGTGAGTGAACGACTGATTTTTATTTTCTTTGATTCATACTAATGATACAATTTAAATAATATGATAGAGAATATAATGTGTATGATAAATTATGTAACATGGATGAAGTAAATAAGTAGTTGAAAGAAGAAAGATAAACAAGATTTATAAAGGTTCAGCCCAAACCACAATGGCCTATGTCCTTTCTTCCGTCTCCTCCACAAAACTTTTCTTTCACTATCTCAATCCCCTTTAATAGGTGAAGATCAAACCCCTTACAGCGTTCTTCATCTTCGGTAGGTGAAGGCAAACCCTTACAATTTCAAGCTCAATCAATACAACAAATATTCTCTTCTCTCTACAAGGTGTTCACTCTCAAAGATTACAACAAGATAGAATAACACATTGCAAGATCATCAACATTTGAAGCATTCTTTATGGTGTTTGTAACTCATTCATAGCCCTAATAAACCTAAAAAGGTCTTCTTTCGTCAAGCCTCACAATGCTTTTTTATAGTGGAGGCATGGTTAAAAACTAGCCGTAAGAGGCTCCAATGGACACATTCAGAAAGCCTTCCAAAATTTCGGATAGACTTTCAAAAGGCTTCATGATCTTCTATAGAGTTTTGGTGGTCTTCTGGATTTGCATTCAGAATTCCGAATTCCTCATGCGGAAGTCTGAATCCCTTATCCAAAAATCCAGATCTCCCTTCCGGTCTTCTAGTGCTGCGCATGTATCTCAACTTCCAAGCCAATTTTGACCCCCAAAGGATTCGAATATGAAAAATGCTTATTTCAGAAAAAGTCTTAGCCTTTAAATCTTTTTGAATCCAGTCATTGAGACATCAGAGTAAAAATTTCTGTCCAAATTATGGAGCATATATCTGATTCTCCTCATGATTAGCATCTATGCACTACCTTCAATTTTCATGCCATTGTTCATCTTGAAGACGTTCGAGTCTAAAAATTACTATTTTACTCAAACTTGTAAATCTTGAAGTCTTATTTTTCAGTCCCACAAAAATAAGTCAATTTGACATATGAGTAAAAAGTTATGTCCATATTGTCAACACCATGTTAAATTAACTGATAAGTATTTTCCTTCTTAGCTTCTTTCTTCCACTCGTTTGCCCTAATCCTTCAACCCTTCTTCTCAAGTAACATAATAATCTTTCTAACTTGAATAACTACCATAATAAGTCAGATCATTAACCACTTCATGTTCTCCACTTATAACGATCAAACTGACGAGGTCGTTACCTAAGCTTCTCATGCCCATTCCATCCAATTCTTTTCATCTTTTATAATCCAATTGAGCATTTGACTCCTGCACATCTTCGTCTTCGACTTGTTGTATTCGATGTAGTACATTACCCATTCAAGCGTTCTCATCAAACACATTCAATTCTTTATAACCAAACTCATACGAAGATGATTAGTGATACAAGAGTGTTTGTTATTATCAAAACTTTACTTAACCAAGCATAGGGTCAACAAGAATTGATTAGGAAATGAAAAAAATTAAAAGAGAGAGATTTACCCAAAGCCTCTTGAAGTTAACTCTAATATTATAGCAAATCACTTAAAATCAAGAGAAGAATATGACACCGATAGACCGTACTGAAATTATAACGTTTTATGATCGAGTTATAATTTTTTGGAATGTAAGTTATAACTGCAAAAGTCATCATCAATCCCAAATGTTATGATCAACCATATACCTTATAATTTTAAAAGCTCATATATAAATAACTTTTGAAAATTAAGTTATACATTTAAAATGTGTAACTTGACCTTTATAATTTTTGTGATTCATTATGAATGACTCAATCAGTTGTAATCTCTCTTTTAAAATATATAATTTAACCTTTATGCCGTGGTGTCACCATTTAATAAGATCATAATAATTAAGTGAATCCCACGTATTATACTAACCACTCCTCCATTTCATTTGATAACCACCATTTTTTTTTAAAATAACTACAAAATAGAGTTCACTTTATCCACTTAGATGGTGCCATCATATGATCATAATGACGTAATGTCATCATTACACTCAATATTTACTCAGTTGGTATACTCTGCAATCCAGTTAACCAGCACTCCAATATGGGTTAGCCAATTTTTTAAAGCCTCTTCAAGACTGACAGCAAACCCCGTTAATGCCCAACTATGCATCATCCACTCTTCCTTGTATCATAGCTTATCTGTCACATTTTTCTATTGGAAATGCTTAAGCGACAAGCCACAAGAAAGCCACCTTTAGAAAGATGATTTCTTTATTTGGAACCCCCACTGCTTATCTTTGTTCTAAACCGCTAAATGAATTAGATATTATCAAAATCGTCAGCCATTTAAACACAAACCCTAGTGACGGTTTGTTCAAAAAGGCAACTATGATTCCCTATAAAGTCACCTCTTACGGGTAGGCATTGCCACCACACAGATCCATTTCCGACCAACTGTTCTTTTCATATCTCTCTGTCCAGCAATGTCATCCACCGGAGCAAGTTTTGCTCATGTTTACGTGCAGCAGAAGCGCCAACGTGAGAAAATGAAAAGAATGGAAGAGGAAAGGGGAAGAATTGGGAACGCCGGGAAGACTGGTGCTGAAGAGAAAAAAGCTGGTAATGGTAAAGTTGGTGGGAGCAAGAAGATTCACCCAGGTGGCGGCTCTGTGTCACCATATTCTGCAGGGAGCTTTGGTGAAGCCAAAGACTAGGTGGATTAATGTGGCGAAAGCAGTTTGTTCATAACATGTATATATAATAATGGGTTTGTCTGTGTGAATTAGGACAAGGTGACTGCGTTTATGTGTGTTTGTGTTTGTGTTTATGTCCATCAATTGCTCAGTTTGTATTAGGATGTGTTACTTTTGACAAGCCAAGTTGTTAAGAAAGGTCATTTTAAGTTGTAGACGACTTTTAATGGATTGTGTCTATTTTAAGTCTGAAATGCACAAGTCTTCTTGTGAAAAATTGTAGTCGTTACTCCCTGCCATTTCCTCTTTTAGATTTTTTATCTAATTTACCAAATGTTTGCTTCATGCTTTGTATGTGCTCTCTAAAGATATTAAGTTAAGATTTGTGTTTGAACCTTCCCAGTATCCTTCTAATCAAGTCTTTTGAACTCGTGACACTAATATAAAACTCAAATATATACAATCACCTATAAACTAAACGCCTTGGGCTTGTTGATTTTCTTGAGCTCTTGTGACTATAATATGATGTTGGGTAAAGTATATTCAAATTTTGCATATATTCCCTAGCTTTATTCATTAAAAAAAAAGGAATAAGTAAAACATGAACTCATTACTGTTATGGCTTTCCCCATATTGGATCATGGAATCAAACGGTGCGGTTTAGCTTTATCTTGTTAATTAATGAACAAAGTCCTCTAGATTAAATTACTGAATATTCCCCCACTACTTGTTCAGTTTCTGTTTTTACAACTTCGACGCTTTCGTGTGAGACTTGAATAAGATATAAAATTGTAATATATAACTCTTGGCACCAACAAAAGTGTGGGCTTGTGTTAGCAATTGGACGCCATCATATCCTTAATAAACATTTCCCATTAAAGTTGCATAATCTACTTGCCGATAAAAAGAATGTTAGAATTTGACCAAAACTCTCTAATTGTTATGCAGATATGGAATAGTATTCTATAGGAAGATTTTTAATATACTATGAATAGGTATATTAGACATGTGATGGGAAACATAAAGATCAAGTTATAGTTGAATAGTTTGGGTTACAGTATTTTATCTCTATGGGGCCATTTTGTTAGTAAGAAAAAGATGATAGAAAGTGAAATACATAGAAAGTGAAATAAAAGAAAAGAAAGTGAAATAAAATATACTTTCAGGCATACATTTGGTTACCATGAAAAAATTTTAAGAAAACATTAAAAAAATTTCATTTCATTGTTTCAAAGAAATGAAAGTTAAAAGAAATTTTTCTAATTATCTAAATTATCCTTAATTATTTTAACTCGGTCTTAAGAAGAAAAAAATATTTTTTATTATTCAAATTTTAAAATAATTAGCTTCTAACCTAATTCAGGGACAAGAATTTACTCGAAACTTGATCTTTAGACCAAATTATGTAGTTAGCCTAATTTGTATAAAGTTTTTTGAAATTAATAACTAATTAAATATTTTAAGAAAAATACGGATAAAATGAAAAGTTAGGTTATTAAATACAATTTTCTTACTTTTCCTTGTATTTTTTACAAGAAAAAAAGTTAACTAGATATGAGAAAATCTAAGCATGAAAAAAATTATTTTTTCTATCCTTTTTTATTTCATGCTAAACAAACAGATGTAAAATTTTAAAATTTTCTCTTTCTTGTATTTTCTAACATTATCTTGCTAAACAAACGACCCCTATAAATAGATTTGTGTATTATGTAATCAGTTATCAGATGACCAGATTTTAGTGAATGATATATCGATATAGGTTTTTGGTCCGTGGATGTAGGTACGATGTACCAAGGTGAGTATGTTTTATCAAATGACATTATATATGTGTCATATCTTTATTGTTTTCTTATCTTTGAATTTTATCTTTCAATAAGTATTATTTGTATTAATTATTCGCTGCGTAAAATCAACAAGTGGTATCAAAGTCAAATTAACGCTCTTGGTAACAATAAGAGCTAGATTGATGATCTTTGTAGAACAATCAGAGTTAGATTGATGATTCTTGTACAACAATCAAAGTAAGTTATTGGCAATTCAATAATCAAGTTGATGTTCATGTTAAAAAATACTTGCTTGCCATGTGTGTACAACGTGGTGTGAAGATTGATTTTGTCATGTGTACATTAAGTGAGTAATCTTGAAATTTTTTCATAAGTACGTAATCTTGAAATTTTTTCATAAAGTGTTTTTCGATCCAAAAAAAAAAAATTAAAATTGGCATGAAATCGAACAAAAGACTAAGTTATTTCCTGATTATTTGGATTTCAAGAATTACCAAACATGCTGTGTTGAAGATGTTTCTTCATGTTTTTGGGCTCTTAGAGTTGAAGTGGCAGTATTCCAATGGTTTGAGAGCTATTGGGCTAACATAAACCTAGTGGTGATGATGTGGTGCCTCGTGGGTTATGAGTCACTAGGCTTAACTTTTGAATGGTGATGTATTGATCATTGAGACCTCCCAAAAGCAAGTAAAACATGGACAGAGATGCACAGATGATGCAGGCCAAGACGCATGCTCTTGAAAGACAAAGAGGATTATGATGACTTAGAAGAGTAGGTTTGCACGTCGTGCTTAAAAGATTGGTGGATCAAAGTCAAATGTGCTAACCCTGATCTTAGGCATGACCAAATTTGAAGGGTTTGTTGAAGGAAGGCTGTTGAAATTTGACTCAAACTCTCTAATTGTTATGAAGGAGAGTTTGTTGGGTAATCAACATGAGAATCCTACACGGAATAGGATTATATTGGAAGAGTTTTAATATATTATAAATAAGTATATTAGACATGTGATAGAAAACATAAAGATCAAGTTATATTTAAATAGGTTTGAGTTACAATATTTTATCCCTATTAATAGGTGTGTGCATTATGTAATCAGTTATCAGAGGACCAGATTTCAGTGAACAACACATCGATGTAGGTTTTTTGTCCGTGGATATAGGTACGGTGTACCAAGATGGTTATGTTGTATTGAACCACGTTATATCTTTGTGTCATATCTTTATTGTTTTCTTATCTTTGAATTCCTATCTTCCAACAAATATTATTTGTGTTAATTATTCGTTGTGTAAAATCAAAAAAGAATCTACTTTATATATGAGCAATGCTTTTAGGATCATATTTGAGGACAAATGATGGAACTTAATGAACTCTCGTCATTTCATTCGAAATGATTCGAAACAGAATATGTTGGAAATATGAATCTAAAAGATAAAGTGAACGACAAGGTGATGTGCGAATTAGATTGCTCTCTAAAGACAATTCATGCCCTTTTGTGGAAGAAACACAATGCAGAAGTGTTATCCAATATATAATCAGAACTGAATACTAATTAAACTAATTATTGTAGAAAATCTAAAATCACTAAATATACTATTATATGGAAACTAATAAATAAAATAGAATGTTTAAACAAAACAGAAATACACTTATAGGGACGTAGGACATCAATAATAATAATATGAGAAATAAGAATTTGAGCACTGTGTAATCACAGTTTTCTTAAGACATATTTGCTTCATTCAGTGCTTAAGGTTGATAAGCAACTGTCTCCAAATATATAACGAATTTCGTTTTTGAAGATACAACACTGCAACCTTCAAATTTCCAACGAACATAACTTTGTGTTTTGTACTTGAATCAAACAAATATGTAATGTAGAAGGAGAGAGATGGGATGCAACAGTATGCAAGTATTTACTATATTTTTCATATATTGAAATAACTTGAAGGCAGTCTATTTATAGACCCTTAATATCTATTTAGATTGCTTAAAGAGGCACGGGATGCCACTCTTTGTTGAACAGACACACTATTAAACAAATAGTAACAAAAGGGAAAGACACCTCTGGAGTGTGAACAAATGCATAAGCACCAAATTGAAATTTAATGGACAAAAAATTTAAAGTTCAGTTGGATATTTAAATTTCAGTAGGAAGGAAAAATTGCACTCCAAATTCAGATTTGTTTGATTTAACCCACAACTCGCACTGCACCAAATAAATTTTCAGCAAAAAGATAGGATCTTACTAGCACAAGATCTAAGGCCAACCGGGTCATGGTAAGGCGGGCGGGCGGGAGATGTGGTAACCAATGTTGTGTAGGTGATCACTCCTCTCACAAAAGTGTGGTACCCCTTGGGGCCCAACCCATGAAGCCAACTAGAAGTATATTAATTCAATTAGTTTTTGGTTTCTTTACAATGTGGGACAAGCCTTACATACTACGCTTCATTTAACTTAGTTCTTTCCAACCATTCAAGTGGGTCACTTTGAAACATAATTTCTCTTTCAATACTTAATGATTTTGAACAAATAAAGATAACACGTTAATTTCCTCACAAAAGAGAACATGTTTAAACTTGCTCCCACTAATTTTGAGGTGTAGGTTCCAATTTTATTTAAACCCAAAGTTGCTCAAAAATACTTGTTCAAAACCATTATTTCCAATAGAAAGTAGCAGCATGTCGTCCCCATGACACAACAGCCCAATTCAGCCTAATTGATTGTTTCTTCATTTAGATCTATACAATCGAATGAAACAAAAGTTTCATACGACACCTTTCTATATTGCTTAGAAACTAATGTCGTAGAAAAAATATAAAAAATGTGGAAGTGTATCTATCTATTCGAAAATATCTAATTACTACCTATAACTCATGCCTAAAGGCACGATAAAACATAAAATTTGAGCCCCCAAAAAATTGATCTCACTGTATTAAATAATAATTTTTATTTCCTTCATTTCTTTGATTACATCATTCAAAATTTATTTTTACCCATTATTTTCTTTATTGACAAATTTTTTTCAAAATACGTAATTCAATAAAATTTTCTCAACATGTGTATAATATCGTGTATGGATAATGCCTTAAAAAAATATGTTAAATGATAAATTAATCAAATATTAAATAATTGAACATGTGATAAAAATGAGTGATGTGATGGTTTTAGGAAAAAAAAATGGATGATAAAATTCAACCTAGAATTCCTGTGTGTTTTATTATATAGATATATACTG